AGTTCGAGGAACGGTATCACTCATTGGCTGCGCAGGCGCGTTTACTACTTGGCACTGGCAATGCTGCCTGCGCCGGTGGTGACGGCGGGTCTGTAGCGGGCTCCTCGAATAAAAACACAGGTCAATCGTTACAAAATGGCTTTATACGCATGCCGACCATCAATTTACCTCATTATGACGGTAGTTATAATTACTGGCTAGAGTATAGAGAGACATATTTATCGCTTATCCATAATAGTAGCGCGATAGATGACATTAGTAAATTCCACTACCTTCGTGCGTCATTAAAAGGAAGCGCAAAAGAAATAATTAAGAATATTGATTTCAAAGGAGACAATTATCAAATGGCGTGGAGTTTACTATGTGATCGGTATGATAACAGTAGACTTTTAGTGCATAACCACGTGCAGGCACTGTTCAATGTTGATAAGCTGCCAAAAGAATCACATTTGTCGTTACGTTCACTCATAGATAGCATTAATAAAAATATTAGAGCGTTAAAAACATTGAACGAGCCCACGGATTCTTGGGATACGCTTATAGTATATATGATGTCATGCAAATTAGATCCCATCACTAGTAGGAACTGGGAGGAGTATCGCAATACATTGGATACTGCACCCACTTTATCACAACTTTGTAAATTCATTAGCAACAAAGCAGATTTATTAGAAACATTAGAAAACAATAATCAAAATCATAAAATAATACATAAATTAGATAATAAACAAAAAAGCTTCATAGTTGCCACTAATAATTATAACAATCATAACAATAATCATAACTCAAACCAAATTTCTTACAATAAAACCACATTAAAATGCCCCCTTTGTTTTAAACACCATCTATTATATACATGTGAATCTTTCAGAAATCTATCTATAGAATCACGAGTTTATAAAGCAAAGGAACTCAATGTGTGTATGAATTGTTTACGCACAGGTCATATCACATCAAGATGTAGATTATCACGCTGCAAATATTGCAAAGGAAAGCATAATACTCTCTTGCATGTAGATGACCAGACCATGTCTACGTCTATTAATAATTCTATGCCTAGTAGTAGTAGTAGTGTCGCCCTTCCTATTGACATTGCCGGTATTTCTTCTACTAATTGTCCAACAGGCAATGTCGCTTTATCTTGTGACACAATCATACAGAATACTACTTCTTCTATTTTACTGTCCACAGCTATGGTGAAGGTTGTGAGCGATGACGGTGAGAAGTTCGACGCCAGGATTCTACTCGATAATGGTAGCACAGCCAATTTTATTACGCAGACGCTTAGTAACAAGCTGAGATTGCCTCGGCGGAACATTAACTCCACAATAACAGGTATAAATAGCCAAACATCAAATAGTACACAATCTTGTAATCTTACTATTATATCACGAGATGACAATTTTAAAATTAATATTGACTGCTATATTCTGCCTGAAATTACAAAACTGTTACCTCCAACTTCAATTGACATTCGCAACATTCCTATACCTTCAAATTTACAGTTAGCCGACCCTTCTTTCTATTGTCCGTCAGCTATTGACATATTAGTTGGTGCTGAAGTATTTTGGGCGGTTCTCGGTAGTGCATCTATTAAACTCGGTAAAAACCAACCTACATTATATGCATCTAAATTCGGTTGGATAGTTACCGGTCCTGTGATTGTTTCATCAAAGTCTTTTTCAACAAAACAATCGCATTATTGTAATCTACAAACTAATGAATTAAACTTAAATTTAAATAAATTCTGGGAGATGGATTCGGTTCCTTTAAAATATAGTTTATCTCCAGAAGAACGAGCCTGTGAGGATAGCTTTCGTACTAATACCACTCGAAACAAAGACGGTCGTTTTATGGTTACTTATCCATTGAAAGACAACTGTAACACGTTAGGTAATTCTTATGAAATGGCTAAACGTCGATTTCTTTCCTTAGAACGTCGTTTTCAACGTGATCCTAACTATAAAGAGAAATACGTTCAGTTTATGGCAGAGTACGAGCGCCTGGGACATATGACTGAGATTACTTCACCATTGAAACCGCATTCTAGTAGCGAGATTGAGTATTTTTTGCCGCATCACGGTGTGGTTAGGGAATCCAGTACTACAACTAAGCTCCGGGTAGTCTTCGATGCCTCTGCTGCTTCCACATCTGGAATATCATTCAATGATATTCAGATGGTGGGGCCTACTGTCCAGGATGATCTGTTCTCCATTTTACTACGTTTCCGTCAACACAAATATGTAATATCTGGCGACGTAGAAAAAATGTATAGAGCAATTGACATCATTCCCTCCCACCGTTCTTTACAACAGATAATTTTTAGATCGAATCCCAATGAACCCTTAAAAACATACAGACTTAATACCCTAACTTATGGCACAGCTTCTGCCCCTTACTTAGCCACGAAATGTCTGGTTAGTTTATCGCCAGAATCAAGTAATGAAACCGTAAAGACTTCTATTGAACGTGACTTCTATGTGGACGATTATCTAAGCGGTGGTAATTCAATTTCTGAGGTGGTCAAAATGAGTAAGGAAGTAATTTCTATTTTATCTTCTGCAAATTTTCATCTACGAAAATGGCAGTCTAATTCATTACAAATCTTAACTGAAATTTCAGGTATTACAGAGGCTTCAAACAGTCTAGATTTTTTTGAAAAGAGTACTATTTCATGTAAAACGCTAGGTTTGCGTTGGTTATGCGATTCAGATACGTTAGTACTTTCTATCTATATAGATACAAACAAACAAATTACAAAACGCAATATCTTGTCAATTATTAGTCAGATTTTTAATCCGTTAGGTCTAGTCAGTCCGTGTATAGTAGAAGCCAAAATAATTATGCAAAAGCTATGGCTTAGTAAATATGATTGGGATGACATTATATCTGACGAGTTAAAAGGTCTCTGGCTTTCTTTAATAACAACCCTTCCCTGTCTAAATAACTTAAAAATACCTAGATGGGTATTATGTGACAATTATGTATGTAACGAAATACATGTTTTTACAGACGCGTCTGAGGCGGCATATGGTGCATGCATTTATATTCGTTCTACAGATAATAAAGGATTAGTTAAAGTCCAACTTCTAGTGTCAAAAAGTCGAGTGGCACCGGTTAAGCCCACTACAATACCACGTCTTGAGCTCTGTGGCGCCCTCTTAGGAACAAGATTGTGTACTAAAGTGATGAGTTCTCTTACTTTACCTATTAGTCATTGTCGGTTCTGGTGCGATTCGACAATAGTGTTGAGTTGGTTATCTATGGCAGCTAATACATTAAAACCCTTTGTACGCAATCGTGTACATGAAATACAGGAAAGTACAGCAGGGCATACGTGGAGTTATGTTCCGTCCACGGATAATCCGGCGGATTTTGTTTCTCGCGGGCTGAAGGCTGACCTAATCAGCAACTGTTCTTTATGGTGGTCAGGGCCGGAGTTTTTATTGTTAAATAAAAATGATTGGCCAAAAATGCCCAATCAAACTGTGAAACAAGATCCACCTGATGTAGTGTCATCGCATCGCTTTTCATCACTCGACCTTACATCAAATCCTCATTCACATGTATTAATAAAATCACAATATAATAATCAGTCATTATTTAAAACACTAATTCATAAATTTTCAAATTTTCATCGTTTGCATAGAGTAGTTGTTTATATACTAAGATTTGCTAACAATTTAAAAAGTAAAAACAATAAGTTGCATGGTTTTCTTACTAGTAAAGAACTTACTGATTCATTACAGCTTATTACAATCCATGCCCAAAAGGATATGTTTCCAATAGAACTTAGTTTACTTTCATCAAAAAAATCATTACCACGTAAAAATAGACTTGCATCTCTAAGTCTATTCGTAGATAATAATGGTATTATTCGCGTAGGCGGCAGACTAGACAATTCTCCCTACGACTATAATATAAAACATCCCATATTATTGTGTGCAAAACATCATTTCACTAAATTAATATTTATTAAATACCATAAAGAATTGTTACATGCTGGTCCCCAGCTTCTTTTAGCTAATATTCGACATACATATTGGCCTCTAGGAGGCAGAAATCTTTCTAAATTAGTAGTCAGGAATTGCATAAAATGCTTCAAAAATAAATGTTTAACAATACAACCTATTATGGGACAGTTACCGACATCAAGAACAAAATTAGAGTTTCCATTTTTACATTGCAGTGTCGACTATGCTGGGCCAGTGTTTATAGCTGACCGGAAAGGGCGAGGTTGCAAGCTTATAAAGTCATACCTGTGTATTTTTGTGTGTCTTGCAGTCAAAGCCGTGCACATCGAGCTCGTTACAGACCTATCTAAAGAAGGGTATATGTCTGCTTTAAACCGTTTTGTGGCTCGTCGAGGTAAACCTCAAAGTATCTTGTCTGACAACGGTACTAACTTTGTCGGCGCCTGCAACGAGCTACAAACGTTTTTACAGAAATCTGATATTTCATACGAGGTCACCCAACAAGGTATTGAGTTTGCATTCGCTCCTCCCTATTCACCACACTTTAATGGTATCGCTGAGGCAGCAGTCCGTTCCACCAAACATCATTTAAGGCGATTACTGCAAGTAGCTCATATTACGTATGAGGAGGAGATGGCAACATGTTTGACTCAAATTGTGGCAGTTTTAAACTCACGTCCATTAACCCCTATTTCCTCTGATCCTTTAGATTTAACAGCCCTAACTCCTTCACATTTTTTAATTGGACGACCACTAATGTCGGTTCCACATCCACAAGTAATTGACATCAAAATTGAGCGTCTGGAACGCTATCACAGGGTGCAGCACATCAAACAACATTTCTGGCAAAGATTTCACCTCGAGTATATTTCTCTACTCCAACAGAAAACCAAGTGGACGTCTTCAACTGGCCAGCTGTCTGCTGGAACACTCGTCCTAGTAAAGGATAGAGGACAATCCCTGGCATCGACGGGGCCGCACGCGTGGCCGAACTGAAGACTAAGAAGGGAACAATTTTGAGGGCTTTCAACAACCTCTGCCCTCTTCCTGTTTCTTGAATACTTCAACCCGAGGAGGATGTTCGAGCGCTATCGAAGATGAGCTATTGACAGCCGCTAGGCCGGGACACCTTTCACTTTGCCTTGCGCCTACGACGTCACCGCACGCGTACCTTATTAATTAGCTAATGTTCCTTGTAATATTATAACTCCTCGTATTAAATATAATAACTTACAGTCCACTACTTATTTTATTTACGAGTTATCATCAGTACTATAACACTAAAAGCAAAATAAGTATTTTCAAAATACTTTTTCAAAATAAATTACCTTTTGAGTTTTTGTCCAAAACTCAGATATTTTATTTATTTTAGGTATATGAATCATTACATAGTATAGTATAAAACAAAGTCGCTGTCGCATCTAACCAGTACATAAATAAAGATAGAAGACTTTTTGGCTCTGAATATATTTCAAAAATCAATTACTTGTGTTAATTCAATTTATATACTCGTTCTTATTTCATAGTACTTGTTTTCATCCGAATATATACAGATACCGTAACGGTCTATTAATTATGAATTTATTATACCTAACCTAGATATTTTATTTTGACGAGACTCCGTGTAGTAGTAGTATCCGATAAGGGTATGCGAACCCTAAGTATTATTTCAAAATGACCAGTAATTTCCAAACGGATGCTCAAGGTTCGATTCCCGCCACCGATTTTTTTTTTTGTTATTTTTTTTTGTTTTGTCTTTATTTTATATTTTAAATTAACTATTTTAATAATTAAATGAATTTAATCGAACAAAACGTTGTTAAGTAATAAATTAATTTTAATTTACATTACCTATTATACTTACTAAATTGTAAAGCAGCTAACAATTATAGTAAAATCTTATAAATAATTAACACAACAAGTAAAACATTTTAAATGTATTTTCTTTATTATTACAAAATATTTTTTATGCATAATATAATAGTTAATATCACTTAAAATTAATTTAATACTTAACAACGTTTTTATCGATTAAATTCATTTAATTATTAAAATAGGTAATTTTAAATATTACTTTAAAAAAAACAAAAAAAAAAGCCAATGGTAGGAATCGAACCCGGGATGGCTGTGTGGTAAGTTGGTACACAGGTACATTCCTATCTAGTAAAATTAATTTAATACTTAACTACTTTTTTATTATAAATTAATAATCGTATAAATTAAATTAAAAAAAAAAAAAAAAAAAAAAAAAAAATAAATTATTTTATTTATTTGGTTTTTATAAAAGTAAACGGACGGAAAGAAATTCGAACTCGGAGTGTCTGTGTGGTAAATTGGTACACAGGTACACTACTAACTAGGCCATATTGGTGTTGGTTGTTATGGTGAAAAAACTGGTATATACATATATAAGTTACACGTACAATTTCAAAGACTTATTTCTTCAAAACTACTGGCCATTCTGAAATAAAACTTTAGGGTTTGTATATGTAATGTTTGCATATAAAATATGATTAAAGGTTACTAGTGTATTTACACTTTTACTGAACAAACAGAGTTGTTTAATACTGAAAATATTGTGTGGAAGGCATCAATTACTTTCAGTGCATTTATAGCTTTGCTCTTTTCCTAATTATTATTATTAAGTTTTAAAGTGGTTGAATTTTACGTAAGGGGTATTTATACATTATTTCTAATTTACCATTTATTTTAAGTTTTTTAAACTCTATTCATCGAGACCAATCTAATGAGTCCAAACACGATATTTCTGCTGTAAGTTTTCGAAGAGTATGTTCATCATCTGATAATACTGGTGCCAGCATGAAGTCAAGGTTAACAGATAACTAATTACTTTTATTTCGTCAAAATCTTTAGATTACGTATAATAAATTCATAATATCGCTACCTATTCAAATCAAAACAAGTATTAGGTACTTCATGTACTAGTATATAAAGTCATCAACACACAAGTAAATGATTTTTAAATATAATCAGAGCCAAAAAATCTTTGTGCATTTAAAAAATTTTGCCGATACGGATTCACTATTGCAGGAAATTGTTGAAAAAATATATATCGAGTATAGGTATCTACTACTATCGACGAATACATTTGGCAACAACGCATGGTCTCGGCCGGAACGGCAACATCGCATATTAGAATACAAAGATAGTGGTAGAAAGAGAGAGACAGTGGAATCAGCAATATCTACGGATCGTGGCTGGATCAACTAAGTGTGCAAGTGTATATATATATATATATATATATATAAATATCCCCTTGGGCACTTTGTGGCTCAGACGTGCCGTATAGGTAGTTTTTTGTTGATCCTTTTTCACTTGTTGATCCGGAGGCCTTTTGTTGATCTAATGCCAGATGACCATATGTAAATGTTGCTCCGTTTTGAGCCACAACTGTCACGACGAGTAATAATAATAATTAAGTGATTTATACACGATTTTATACAAATCCACCTTTTTGGCATACGAGCAGTTCTTGATCCTATTCAAACGGGCCAATCAGGGTGCAGCATTTGCCAAGGGCTTCCTCATTGGCACGTTTGGGCTACTACATTATGTCTACAGTAACTTAATAATGTCTAGCTAGTATTTCAAGAATAATAGTCTATCTAATCTAAATATTTATAGAAATCAGTCTGGAGTAACGTGACTCCAGATCAAACCTCAATACTTGTTATTTTTTGGACGGGAATCTTTTCTTTTGTAACAACGTTACTGAGCGAATAAAGAGAAGACGCAACGGCGGATCCAGGGGGGAGCGTCATGGAGGTCATGGGAGTCATGGGGGCGTCATGACTCCCCCCCCCCCCCCCCTTAGCCCAGAACTTAGGTAGACCACTAATTGAACTAAAAAATAATGAAACAGCAAATTTTTTTGCACGATCGGAGTGTTGGTGCAGTAGTATTAATTATAATTAAACATTGTTACTTAAAACATAACAGTTAAAGTACTATAACACTAAAAGCAAAATAGGTATTTTCAAAATACTTTTTCAAAATAAATTACCCTTTGAGTTTTTGTCCAAACCTCAGATATTTTATTTATTTTAGGTATATCAATCAATACATAGTATAGCATAGTACAGTCTGTCTGTCTGTCTGTTTGTTCCGGCTAATCTCTGAAATAGCTGGACCGATTTTGACGGGACTTTTTTTGGCAAGTAGCTGATGTAATAAGGAGTAACTTACGCTACTGTTATTTTAGAAAAATAAAATAAAATTTCACGCGGACGAAGTCGCTGGGGCCAGCTAGTCTATAGATATACCGAGATTTAATGTTTAAGTTGCTATTATGTTATTGACAAAATTTTACTGTAATGTTACTATTACGTTATCCTACACAATTTGTATTATTTTGGATGAATAAATAAATAAATAAATAATAATCTATACATTTATACATTTAATAAAAATTGGAGTGTCTGTTTGTAATATTGAAAAAACCGTTTTTTACTACATGCATATGAATATATATAAGGTACATATACCAAAATAACTATTTTTATAATTTTAGTCTGTCTGTCTGTCTGTCTGTTTGTTCCGGCTAATCTCTGAAATGGCTGGACCGATTTTGACGGTACTTTCTTTGACAGGTAGCTGATTTATAAGGAGTAACTTAGGTTACTTTTATTTTAGAAAAATAAAGTTAAATTCCACGCGGACGAAGTCGCGGGAACACCTTGTTTTTAATAAAAACATCTTTTTTGTGGTACTTGAGAATGTTGAAGCCTGTTGTTTGTAATATTGAAATAACTGTTTTTTACTACTTGCATATGAATATAAATACGGTACATACACCAAAATAACATATTTTACAATTTTTGTCTGTCTGTCTGTTTGTTCCGGCTAATCTCTGAAATGGCTGGACTGATTTTGACGGGACTTTTTTGGCAGGTAGCTGATGTAATAAGGAGTAACTTAGGCTACTTTTATTTTAGAAAAATAAAGTTAAAAACCACGTGGACGAAGTCGCGGGAACAGCTAGTGTATAATATATTAGAGATACCTACGTGTTTTTTTATTGATGACTAGCTGTACACGGGATTTCGTCCGTGTTGAATTTAACTTTATTTTTCTAAAATATAAGAAGTTAAATTCCACGCGGACGAAGTCGGGTGTACAGCTAGTTGTCGGTAGTCTAGCGATTTAGCTAGCACACTGCTTTGATTCCTGCTTGGTGGTCCAGGGTTCGATTCCTCGCACGCTGCAAACATTTGTATTCATGAGTATGATTGTTTGTAACGGTCTGGGTGTTTTCTATGTATAGATAATATATATGTATTTACGAAAAAAAAATCTTTGTATTTATATCAGTTGTCTAGTACCCATAACATAATCTTCAGCTAGCTTAACTTGGGTCTAGATGAAGCTGTGTGAATTGTCCTGAGATTACTATTATTACTATAATAAATCTTTTCAAATCAGCCGATGTTTATTTTTGCCATAATACGTGCTGTTACCATGTGATAATATTACGTACGTACTTATTAAACTATTAACTTATTATTAAATTATTAACTATTTATACTGTTTTAAATGTGATGCGTTCATTATTTATATTTCCTTTGAATTAAAGACAAATGTATATATATATATATATATATATATATATATATATATTTATATACACTTGCACACTTAGTTGATCCAGCCACGATCCGTAGATATTGCTGATCCACTGTCTCTCTCTTTCTATCACTATCTTTGTATTCTAATATGCGATGTTGCCGTTCCGGCCGAGACCATGCGTTGTTGCCAAATGTATTCGTCGATAGTAGTAGATACTTATACTCGATATATATTTTTTCAACAATTTCCTGCAATAGTGAATCCGTATCGGCATTTTTTTTAAATGCACAAAGATTTTTTGGCTCTGAATATATTTAAAAATCATTTACTTGTGTGTTGATGAATTTATATACTAGTACATGAAGTACCTAATACTTGTTTTGATTTGAATAGGTAGCGATATTATGAATTTATTATACGTAATCTAAAGATTTTGACGAAATAAAAGTAATTAGTTATCTGTTAACCTTGACTTCATGCTGGCACCAGTATTATCAGATGATGAACATACTCTTCGAAAACTTACAGCAGAAATATCGTGTTTGGACTCATTAGATAGGTCTCGATGAATAGAGTTTAAAAAAC